TTTTGGTATCCTCTCAAAACTCCAATAAAATGATAGGTAAAACAACAATTAGAGATTTTAATGTATAAACCACTAGGATTTTTTAGAAAAAGAACAAGAGAAAAGAAATTTCTAATTTTGGAAGCTAGGAAAATGGGTTCTGAGTACTTAATAGCCTCATTAGAGCAGTAAAAGTTCGGAAAACAAGCTTATGGCAGAAGATATTAAGATGCCAAATGATCCAGGCCATAGAACCTTGGAAAGGATCAGAAATTGGACACACATCGTACTTCTAAAAGGAGACACACGGTACTTCTAAAAGCAGTATGGGTCTAGAAAGAAGAGATTGGGTATAATGTGTTTTAAAGGAACATTTTACCTGTAGAGCCCCTTCCCGACTTTTTACAGCCACAGTTTCCTCTCCTTACACCTGACAAAGGATAATAAATTGTATTATCTAAAGACAACAGACCTAAGAGATTCTAAACTCATTTACCAGGTGCAGTTAAGGCCAGTGTGACCATCATATTAAAATTAGGTGGACTAAGTAAAAATTTGCATCCTGAATAGGGTGACCATTCCCCAACCTCTCTCCCAGTCAGCTTCACCCAGACAGGAGATTAGAGGATTCCTCCCTAAGAAAACTCACGAGGCCAAGGAAAAAAGACCTACAGATACTGACCTACAGATATTGAGGCATTCCCCCAATGAAATAGTCAGGTTCATACCAGACTATCCTATAGTGAAGCCCACCAAATGATAGCCCTCACTCACTCATATGGAGTTTCCAATCATCATTTTAGATCATGAGAAATTTGAGAAAAATCTCTATAATAAAAAAAAAAATCAAAGTAAACAGAAAAAAGGAACTCAGACAAAACAGATAATGCAGAAGCAAAAGAAAGCTTCATTTAAAACAAAAAAATCTCTCTGGGGGGAAGGATAAATTAGAAGTTTGGGATTAACATGAACACACTACTATGTATAAAATAGATAACCAATAAGGACCTACTGTATAGCACAGGGAACTATACTCAATATTTTGTAATAACCTATAAGGGAAAAGAATCTGAAAATAAATATGTGTGTGTGTGTGTGTGTGTGTGTGTGTATATATATATATATATACACACACACACACACATATACATATATATATGTATACACACATATACATATGTATGTATATCTGAATCACTGTGTTGTACACCTGAAACTAACACAATATTGTAAATTATACTTCACTTAAAAAAAAGCAAACAGGGCTTCCCTGGTGATGCAGTGGTTAAGAATCTGCCTGCCAAGGCAGGGGACATGGGTTCAAGCCTCATTAGAGCAGTAAAAGCTGCTGGTCCGGGAAGATCCCACATGCCGGAGCAACTAAGCCCATGCGCCACAACTACTGAGCCTGAGTTCTAGAGCCTGCGAGCCACAACTACTGAGCCCGTGTGCCTACAGCCCGTGCTCCGCAACAAGAGAAGCCACTGCAACAAAGAGTAGCCCCCACCCACCACAACTAGAGAAAGCCCACGGATGGCAACAAAGACCCAACGCAGCCAAAAATAAATAAATAAATTTATTTTTTAAAAAAATACCTCTCTAATGTCTTCGGAGAAATAATAGAAGACAATATTGTACAACCCTGAAACAAGAATGGAAAGCTATGTAAAAGCTTATTCATAGAACAAAAAGATCTTCTGGAAGTTAAAACAACAGTAAAATTTTTAAATTAAATAGAGTGATTGTAATATAAAGTTGAGATATTCTCTCAGAGAGCAGAGCAAAAAGAGAGAGAAAAGACAGAGAATCAGTCTAAGAGATACAACATATGAATAACAGGATTTTCAGAAAAAGAAAATGAAGGAATCAGAGGGGAGAAAATCAGATTAATACAAGAAAAAATCCTAGAACTAAATAACATGAATTTACAGATTCAGTGAACAACAAAAGAGGATCATAGCAGGGCATGTAATCTTGAAATTATAGAACGTTAAAAAGGAAGAGAAGATCCTGAAAGTTTTTAGAGAGAGAGAGAAAACAAAGACTTGGCAATTAGAATAACAGATTTTGCAAAAGCAATATATCGGTGCTAAACAAAAATGAAGGAATGCTTTTAAAATTCTGAAGGAAAATGATTTCCACACTAGACTTCTATACCCAAATTACCAAGGGTAGAATCAAGACATTTCTAGGCATGTAAATTCTCAGAAACATATCTCCCACTCACCCTTTCTAAGAAGTTTTCAGCAGAAAATTTTCACGAACAGAAGGAAATAAATCAAGAAAGGGAACGAAATGAGACTGAAAAAACAAAAGGCCCAACACAAGAGAAGGGCATTCCCAGGATACTGGTGCAGAAAGATCTGAAGATTAAAGCTATAGGTATAGCAAACCTAGACCCCAACCAAACCACATTGGAGTAGATCAAAAGGCTCTGTGAGGAACTTCAAGATAAAGCAGAAGGATCCAACAGAGGAGCCATCAAAGGAAGGATATTTTCCAGCTCCTTTGGAGAGTTTGGGAATGAATTACTGGTTGGTAGATTAAAACCTAATAAATGAAAACATTTTAACTACCTACCTATTATTAGCTCTAGAGAAACCAAAAAGCTATACATTAAAGTCAATGTAGTCAAATATGCTCCATGTATCAGGGAATAGTTACAAAGCTTTAATTAAACAAAAAGAATAGGAAAGAAAGGAAAGGTATGTGTTTGGGGAAGGGGGGTTTGGAGGTATGGTAGGAGTTATATCCCCTTTTCTGTAGTTGGAAACAGGAAAAATCAAGAAAAAATATATATATATGGTTGCTAGCAATGCAGAGGAAAACAAACAGCAGGAAAAAATAAACAGCTAAATGAGGTGCATTCAACAAGTATTTACTGAGCACCCACTACATGTCAGACACTGTTCTAGGTCAGGGTTTCTCAGCCGTGGCACACTCTGGACTGTCCTATGCATTGTAGGATATTCAACAGCATTCCTGGCTTCTATCCATTAGATGCCCCATAGCACCCCTACAGTCATGACAGTCAAAAATGTCTCCTGATATCACCAAACGTCCTCTGGAGGGCAAAATTATCCCCAAGAGAGAACCACTGTTCCAGGAAATAGAGATACAGCAATTAACAAAACACACACAAAAAGAGCTGAAAGTGATTACCTCTGAAAAATAGGATCAGGTTGAAGAGGAGCAGGGCAGGAAAATGCAGTTTTTACTCATAAGCCTTATAGAATTCTGACTTTTCAAACTATATATACATGCTACATTAATAAAAGAGAATAAATAATCTAAGATATAAAGTCCATTTATACCTTAATTCACTGTTTCTACACGAGGCAGTATAGTCATGCAATTCTAGATTTGAATTCCAGCTCCACCACTTACTCTAAATCTGAGGCAAGCAACTTAAACCATTCTGAGCCTCATTTTCTTCAACACTATAAAACAGGAATATTCACCTAGGGTTATTATAAGTATTGCATATTATTATGCAAAAATACATATAATGCATGTCCTATAGTACCTGCACTTTAAGCATTCAATAAATTATAACATCTTGGAAAGTGTATGTAGTCACTAGCTTCCATACGCCAGATCCTTGAGAATAACCACCAGCATCTTGGATATATAAACCTGGGGCCCCCATAACTTGTCATACACTAGTCACGAGGCCACCTGAGTGGCATACCAGGATTCATGCCATTTATAGCATGCACTGTAATCATGTACATACCTTGATTTTGTTCTTGGAAAATCACCATATATACTGAGAGTAAAAAAGCAGATCTGTTGCACGAAGAAAGATAACTGAAATATGTTAGAGTTTTACTCATCCAGGTGGCAGATAGAAGAAATCCATGTAAGCATCAAGCAATTTATTTGTATCACGCTATAGGAAAAGCGGTTACATATATTTTAAAAATAAAAAGGAGTAGACCAAATGAAAACAATAAAGCTTACTTCAGGGGATGGGGGGAAGGATTTTACAATTTCGTGTGACCGTGTTTCATTTCTCTCCACTGCTCCTTGGATTCTTTCAATAATCTTTTTTTTTTTTTTAATTTGTGGTACGCGGGCTTCTCACTGCGGTGGTCTCTCCCGTTGCGCAGCACAGGCTCCGGACGCGCAGGCTCAGCGGCCATGCTGCTCCGCGGCATGTGGGATCTTCCCGGACCGGGGCACGAACCCGTGTCCCCTTCATCGGCAGGCGGACTCCCAACCACTGCGCCACCAGGGAAGCCCTCTTTCAATAATCTTAATAAAATTTAATAAAAGTGAGCTATTTTGTTTAGGTTAATTAAGATATGAAACTTTTTGTATCGTACTTAACGAAGTCCATCTCATTATTCATCAAAATATTAATTATAATAATGGCATAACTTATTCTTATATCCAGTCTCGATATACTATATTCACTACCTCAGTTAATCCTCACAATCTGGGCTACTATGTGGCAGATACTATTATCCTCATTTACTAGATTTAGTCATTCATTTTTTCAACAAATACTATTATAATTGAACACCTGCTCTATGTTGTTCGCTGTTGGGAATATAGCAGTGAATTAAACAGACAAAAGAATCCCTGCCTTCACAGAACTTACGTTCTCAACAAACAACAAATAAGTAAAATGTACATATTGTTAGATAAGAGAAAAATAATGTATTGAAGAAGAAGAGGGCTTCTGGAATGGAGATGGGGTAGCAATTTTAAATAGGGTTGTAGGGGATAGTGGAATTTAAGTAAAATCATGATGTTAAGATGAGGAAACAAGTTCAGAGAGTTAGTAACTTACTCAAGGTCACAAAATTAATAAAGCCAATAAAAGTATAGCTGAACACAATAAAGAATCTTGGTGCATCATTTTATAACAGCTGCTCAGACTTATTGAGACTTTTTGTGATTGGTCAAACCCAAATTAAATCTGTTCTTCTAAATCGTTCTAATAAGTATTGTAGTGTGCACATTAATCCAGAAATGGAAAGAAAACATTAAATTTGTGTTTATTTTCATTTCAGGCCAAAGAATCCCAAAATACAAGAAAGATTCTTGGGAGGATATGGTGGAAACACTTCAAAAAGATTATAGTCATCACCATGGCCATTCTCCTTTCAATCATCATCATTCTTTTAAGTACAAATGTAATACCAACTTGACCCTTCTCCCCATCCCCAGCAGGTACCAATAAATTGTTATATGTAATTATAGAGTTCTACAACCAACAATTACAAAAGCCTTCTCTAGTGGTAGGAGGAATGGAGGAAAAGGGGATTGGAAGTATTTCCTTGTCCCTTTAGTGTTCCTTGACTCTTGTCTTTGTACCTCTCCCATTTCTGTAATCCCATTTGTTTTGTTTTGTTTTTACCACTGCTCCACTACTCTTCTCTTTGTTAATATTACAAGCACATACCCTGAAATCAGACTGCCAAGCTTCAACTCTCCACTCTGCCACATACCATATAGATGACTTTGGACAAGTTGGTTAACCTTTGACCCTGTCTCCTCATCTTTAAAATGGAGCTAATAATAATATCGCATAGAGTTGCTGTCTACCACATAGAAAATGCTATTTAAGTGTTAACTATTACTTAATAGGAAAGATGACTGCATTTATGGCATTGATTAAATCCCCATCATCTTACTCCTCACACAGACATGACCTTAAAATTCCCTTAGAAGTAAGAATTCTTACATGAGTACAGTCCAGATACACATTCACCTCTTCTACATATTCTTTCATTTGAAATGAAAATTCAAACCACTGTGTTTTATACTAGGCATTTCTTTGGGTAAAGATTAAAAAATTAGGAAACTTTACCATTTCTCTAATAAATCACAGGTCATGTCTTCTATTTTACCACCCTAACAGCTTTATTCTTTCTTTTTAACTGATACACTTCATCCAATAACCTTGAATCACTAAGATTTCTAAAACCCAAAACATTCAACTTCACTTCGCAGTTGGTTACAAGGTTTTATGAATTCTATTTCCTAATTGGGATGTTGAGGTCTAAAGTACGTTTTAAAAATCATAAAAATCATAGAGATCCATGGGGAAGAATAAAAAGATTAGAACAGGGGTTCCTGACTACTAGAGAACTCATTTTAATTCTGATAATGATCAAATATCAGCATTTTAAATAGGTCCCAATTCCTCCAGCACAATATCACCTTTCTCTTCACAAAATATTTTTTAAAGCATTTTAAATGTTAGAAACTTTTGGAGTTTCTGTCATTTATACCCAGGAAAAGAAATATAGTCTGACATATGTACTAAGTGCTTTGGGGGAGAGGTGTCTCATTAAATTTTACAATGACATGGAGAGGTAAAAACTATTGCTAGTATAATGTAAAGCACATAAAACTGGCTGGCACATAAGTGCTATGTTAATGTTAGTTCGTATTATTATCTTTATTTTGCATATGAGAAAATAGCAAAGTTAAATGGCATGTTCAAGATCACACAGCTAGAAAGCTGAGATTTTACTGATTCAAGTACTGACTGAGGTATATAGCCACGAAACCCACGTTTAACTCAGAGTATATTATCTGATCCCTTAAATTGTGGGCCAGACAACACACATCAGTACTATTTTGCTTTGGACCAGGTTAGTAGGTTGTTTTGGTGGGGGTGGGGGTGGGGGTAGAGATAGGAATCTGAAGGAATATGGTGAGGAGATACTGTCATGCATTTTGCTGCCATTACTTTTGTAGCCCTATAAAATTTGCCTCCAATTATTTCTGTTAATTTATAATTATGTACAATGTATTTGTATCCTGATTGCCAGTGAATACTAGCATATTTATTGCTAGAAGACATCAAATTTAACACCTAATCTAGCCACCACACCACCCCCAATTTTACATTTTAGGATGCCAAGACCCAGAAGCCTAAAAAATAAACAAAATGCCTTTGCAACCTCCCTCCACTTGCAGCGTGTTTAAAGCACAGGCTATCACCCTGGTTCCAGGCAGCACGTCCCATGTAATACCTGTTTTCCTAGGCAGTCTTAAATAGAGTTTAAGAGTTTTCCAGATGACTTCTATTTTTATGAACTCTTGAAAGCTGCTAGGAAGAAGTAAGCAAAGCACTCGTTTAGTAAAGTGTCTCCCTGCTATTTGTGCATCTAGCAGAATGTACCTGAGTAGAAAGAAACAGATATTAAGACAATCTTAGATTTTTCATTTATGCATTCAAATATTGTTGAGTTGCTCCTCTGCACCAAAGCAGTCCTAAATCATTAGAATTTATTCTAAGTTACCACACTGATAGAGATAACAGACGTTTGAGAAATTAATGGCTGTATATAGAAGTATAAGAAATGGTTCTGATCCTAAGGGAAGCTTACATTCCAGTTGAGGAGGTAAGACCAAAAAAGATCATAAACACGTTAAAATAACATCTACTAAGTGATGCATTGTGTGGCAGGGAAAAAATACAAGAAAGATAATGATCAACACTGGCTCCAGTCACTGAGGAAGATTTGCACACTTATAAGTAGGATGGGAATTGGACCTTATTAGAAATCAAATTTATCTCAATAGGTAAAGGCAGTCCAGTTAATGTTAAGTTACTGAGCACTGATATGACAGTAGCTGTTAAAGTACTTTATTTTTATTTAATCCTCACAACAACCCTGAGATGGGTACTATTATTATTTCCATTTTACAGATAAGAAAATTGAAGCACAAGTTAGGTCACTTGCCAGAGTCCACTGGGCTAACATAGTAAGCGGAAAAAAGATGAACATTTAAATGAAGACACTGCTTGCTGTGTGGGTGGAGAAAGTGGACTAGACCTTGGGAGTTCAGTTGTGCATTCATTCATTCACTCAGATGGACTGCAGCAGAGCTCAGCCTTCGGTTCTCTTCATTTTCCACTCTCTCCAGGGTGCTTTTATTCACTTCCATGGCATTGCCTTCTCCAGCAATAACCTTCCTTCTGAATTCCAAACCATTTTCTCTACTGGAGACATCCACTTGGATAACGTGCAAACACCTCAAGTATTAAATCCTAAAACTCGTATATATTCTTCTTCCTTTCCCCACGAAACTGCTTACTGGACCTTATCTCCTGTGTCTATAAAGGGGATCACAGCTATGTGATCTGTCTGTGATCTAGACCTTAGTCTACGGTGACTCCTCTCTCCTGCTTATCTCCTTTTCCCAAATTACTCACCAAAATCACGGAGCTTCCACATGAAATCTCCTGAAGACTCACAGCAGGGAAGCCCAGAAGAGTTACAGAAACAAACGTAGGGAGTCCCTGCAGGTGCCCAGGCAAGCTTTAAAAAGGGCACTCATCCCCATCATGGTAGACAACTGTGTGTGTCTACTCCCCTCAAGCCCTTCTTGTATTTGGACTGCCTAGCACAGACAGACATTAACACTCGATACTTTTTCATATGCATGATTTCCATAGCTCTTAAACATGATCACAGCAATAGATATGAAGCTTTGGTTTTCAACACTCAGCATCAGAATTACCTGGGGATCCTAACAAGACAGTGTAGGCTGTCTGGGCTCCAAACCTCAAGATTCTGCTTAAGGTTGGGATGGCGCCTCAAAGTGTGTGTGTTTAACCCCATTCAGTGTATGAAGCTGAGAACGACTAACATCAAAGCACTTTTCACATACCTATCATTTAATGTCCATCCCTAAAGAACATCTAATTTTACAGTTGGAAAAACTGATGCTTGTTGGAGAAGTTCAATTTTATTTGCCCAACATCACAGGGCAAATGACAAGAGTGGGACCTCTGAACCATTCACTTGAAATATCTATTCCATTCAACATACTAAACAAGAATTTTTAAAATATCTACAAAATGTCCCACACATTCTAATAAATCTGCAAGAATTATTTTAACTTGTTTTGAAAATTCGTTATCTCATTACGGTCTTCGCAGAAGCTAGAACAAAATTCATTATTTCATTCCGGCCTGATTTTTAGACAAATCACAGGCTGGTTACAGGAAAACAGGTCATTTGAGGGGAAGCCCCTGCTCAGCACCACACCATGACCCACCATGATGGGACCCTCTCTTGGCAAGCCAGCACTGAATGACCCACATTCCTTAAAGAGTTCTCAAAGGAACATAGGAAATGTAATAATGAAATGATACTGTTAGGTTTTTTCTGTATTTACGTTGAATATGGGTACCTTGGCTAACATTATTGCTATTGTACACGTCTAATTCGATTTGCCATTTTTTGAAAAACTTGTCTGCATAGAGAGTAAATGCATTCCCAGCCCTTTTAGTGGTTTCACAATTTGACAGCAAGCCCAGTAGAGGCTAAAGACTGAACATCCCCATATAAAATATTCCTACTCTTGGTATCCTTTCTCATGAACATTCTGGAGAAAACTGGAAATTGCTTTTTTCTTCCATCAAAATCTCAACCTGTAATACTGTTTAACCAATTATGCATCACTAACTTTAAAAAGAATCCCGTCATTTAACATTGTCATTTTAAACATGACAGTAGTTGCCTTACCTTCCCAAATAAGAAAACAAGACCTACATTATTTCAAGAAATTCATCGAAGAGGGGAAACCTTAAAAAAAAAAAAAAAAAAAAAAAAAAGACAGTGCAAAAAATGCATGACTGCTGTTAAGAGTTTAATTTTAAGACAAAAGCACTACATTATAATTTAAACATAATCTTTCAGAAAAGAAAGTTTAGTGCAAATCAAAACCCCATTAAAGCCCACTATAAACTTCACATGAAGATTCTAGAAGTAGGCTTCTAGAACTGGAAACACTTGGTTCCAACAAAATCTGCTTAGGGAGAATATGTCTTGAAAATGTCAAATGGTACAGAGAACATTATGTTGGTTTAGAATCAAGTCAACCAGGTTCTAAAAAAAGACATGCTGATAGGTCTTAATACATGTAATTAGTTGTAGCATGCTTTATCAATTATTGTAGAAGCAATTTACAACAAATTTCTGAGTATTTCGAAGTTTTCTTTATTGCCTTAGCCAATCTCTTAACTACACTGCAATAATTATATAGCCATCTTCCAATTTCTTTTAAAAGGGCTCCACTTCATCAGTTTGAGATTGGCAAATGTTCTCTAAAAGTGTGATAAAGCCCAGTGTAACCCAAGGCCATCCATACAACAAAGGGGCAACTATATAAATCCTTTTCTCAA